GGGTGCTGCTCCGAAGGGATCTCACCGCTCTTCCACATCTTCTTGAACTTGGATCGGCGGTTCTGGAACCAGATTTTGACCTTGGTGGAAAAGGGACCTGAGCGTTAGTGGACGACCCTCGGCCTGGGGCAGGGGAGGGGAGGAAGCGTAGGAAGACCGGGTAAGAGGTGGTCACCCCGGGAAGGTAAGCCGATCATGTGCCGCGGCCTCGGAGGCTCCTTTGGGAGGTAATCTCAAAAACTCAGACAGCTGATATGTGGTAACTGCAGTGATAGTGACAGCGGGCGGGGGTCAGGAGGGCCAACTGTTTTACCCGCTTAATCAGTAGTGGTTGGAAAGATAACTTGATACAAGATTTCTGCCCATCCCGGTCCTTTCCTTTTCTCACACGCGGCGGCCCCCTGGGGAATTTCAGCTTCGGGAGTGTAAGTTTAGGCCGCCCAAGGCGCGAACCTCGAAATCCTTAAAATTACTTAAGAAACTAAACAACAACAATAACAAGAACAACAACAAAACATTGTCCAGAACCCGCCTGCTTCCCAGCCATCCCAGGTCAGCGCCCTCCTTCTGCCTCTCAGTCCGCGAGCCCTCACCTGGGTCTGTGTGAGGCCCAGAGACGCCGCCAGTTCGGCTCGCTCGGGCAGTGCCAGGTATTGAGTCTTTTGGAAACGCCGCTGAAGAGCCGCCAGCTGGAAACTGGAGTAGATGGTTCGGGGTTTCCGGACTTTCTTTGGCTTCCCGTTTACTATCCGGATTTCAGGCTCGACGTCCTCTTTCTCTGCTATGAAACGGAATCGTGAGACCCGCGCAAACAGGGCAGGGCCCTGAAGTTCTCGCCTGCTGGGAGCGCAGCGTGGGACCTGGCCTGAGCTGGGAGGCAGGTTCTTGGAGGCGCCAAGCGGCGCTCAAGCACAACTTCGCAACGCGCGTACCCGCGCCGCCACGGAACCCGGGAACTAGATCCTCCAGGGAGAGGGAAGACAGGGGCAAACCGGAGAGAAAGGGGCAGCAAGTGGTAAAGAAAAGCATGCACCACGAAGCATGCACCGTGCGCCCATTCGGCTCCCGAGGCCACCTGGTCCTACTGCGTACAGAGGGACTTACCCGGTGACCCTTGGTCGATTGGAGGTTGAGGAGAGTAAAGGGCGCGGGGCGGGCAGGGAGCAGTGTGAAAGGCCAGGGCTCCAGATGGATCCCTGCCCCAAATATCTTTATCCCACCCATCCCAGTAACCAGGCTGACTTGGCACACTTGACACCAACGTTATGCATACCAGGTTCGTTGTTTGCTGGGGACGAACTGGTCCCGTAGGGCGCGTAGGAGGTGTAGGCGGCGGTGTAACCCAGGTCGTAGCCGCTCTTGGCGGAATAAGGGACGTTGTTGAGGCCGCTGGCGTGGTACTGGTAGGAACCCATGTGCGCGTAGGGCGAGCCCCCACTGCCGCCGCCGCCCGCCGGGTGCTGCTGGTTGGTATAGTAGCTGCTGTCGGTAGCTGTGGACACCGGCAGGGTGGGCGACTCCTGGGGCTTGTGGAGGCTGCTGCTGTTGCTGCCGCCGGGGCCAGCGCCGCCGCCGCTCGGGGGCTGCTGGTGCTGGTGGTACGTAGTGGAGGCCGTAATCTGGGTCGAGTGCATATCAGCTACCAGACTGTCAAAGACTCCAGTCATCCTGGCCCGGGATGGGAAAGAGCAGGGGTAGCGGGCGCGAGGGGGTAGGGAGGCGCCTCCTCCGTCTCTCCCCGTCCCCGCCAGCAGCCAATGTAATTACAGGGGGGAGGGGGGAGGAAAACAAGAAATGTAGCAACGGTCTAGGCAACTCCTCCTCCGGGGGAGGCGATCACCGTGCACTGCTCGGGACAGCAGTATCCGGCTGCATCCTCTCTTCCGCCTCTAGGGCCGCTCAGCTCCTTGCCCAGCGCGGGCTCAGGCTGGGGGTAGGCAGTGGAGTGGGTAGAGATAGCGGGGCCTTGCCAGGGCTCCAGGAGGTGGGAGCAGGTGAGCAGCCTGGAGCGGCTTTAGGATTGTCTGCGGGGCGGGCTCCTACAGGGTGGGCATTTAATACTCGTCACGTGAGCGCATGCGGCGTCACCTAGCAACAGCCAATCAGAAGAGCCAGGCCGCGAGGCTACTGGCGCCCAGGAACGCCAGGCGGGGAGGCGGTGTCACAGGGCCCGCGCTGAGGCTGCTGTGGTTCTGGGGGCAGACAAGCGGCTGCTGAATGAGAGCAGCGACGTGAGGGTCTGGGAGTGGGGCGGTGGGGAGTTAGGGAGGCCGGCTGGCTGGAGGACAGAAGGCGTGAAGACGGAGATTGGCATTTCCCTCAGAGGAAGAAGAAACGTGGTCTCTCATCCCAATCTGTGTACAGGTGCCAACCAATTCTGATAATTCGTTACCTTCATGTCCGAGGTCAACTTTCAAACGTTAATCCAAATAAAGCAGTGCCGACAGCCCGGTCTAGCTCCGCTTTTCCTGGAAGAGTCTGGCATTTACTCTTGTCAGCCACTCGGCACCGGACATACTCGATTGATTTAAATTATCCATAAACCATATATAATAATACCTGCTTACTAACTAACCCACAGGGATATTAGGGCAATTAATTCGATAATATTTAAACTATTTTTAATTGTTGCTTGAGAGAAAAGCTATATATGTCCAAGGGTATTCTTGCTAATGATACATTCGAAACCATTTTCCTTGTACTTTCCTGAAACGCTAACTCTGAATAACTATGTGTATATGATGGCTAATTGACGACCGAAAAACGATCCCAGGGATTTCCTCCCTACTGTTGGAAAGCTAGACCGGACTGACCAGATGGCCTTCAAAGTTCATTCTAACTCTAAATTCCACTTTTTTAAGAAAAAGGAAATGGGATAATACTTCTGTGAGAGTGTCATCTCGCTACTAGAAGTCTTGGTAAACTTACAGAAACACATATAAAAGTTTTACCTCACGATCTTAATCCTATTTTGCGTTTTTTTTTTTCATTTTAGGACCCTGCTTGGTCCTATCATTGCAACTTCTTTTAAATCTGAAGTGTCGACTTCCTCTATCTCTATTTCCTGGTGGCTGGGAACCAGGGCTGGAGTTGAGGGACATGCGCCTATACTGGACTCCTGTTACTGCCTTGTGGCGCCACCTGGTGGAGGTGTTCGTGGTTGCAGCGGGCCCAGTAGACGGTCTAATCACACCCAGGCGCCAGGCTCTGAACCCCCCCCAAAGAACAAAATAGTAATTAAAAGCCACAAAATTGTACTAGTGCGTGCCATCTGAAGCGCCCCTTCCTAAAGACATACATGTCGCTGAAAGAACGTGTTACAACAACTGTCTAATGGAAAACAAGTTGATACTTTGAAAAATATGATCTTCCCCAGAAAAACCAAGTGTGTAATTTAAAAACTCAAGCATCCACATAGCTCTCTCTCTGCAGAATAGCGAGGACGGTAATCCGCCTTCAAATCTGCCTGGATTTAGTCCCTAGGTTTCCTTTTGGTTACAAAAGGCCCCAAACAGAGAAGGGTGAGCTGGTTAGAAAGTTCTGGAGGTGGGATTCACCAGTATGGGTCACATCACCTCATCACTGTGCTCAGCCTGCTACTTTGTGCATCCCCAGTCACAAAGTTAACCTATTGATATTCAGCTGTTTTGATGTAAGATAGAAGGTTGTGTTCCTTTTGAAAATGAACTATAAAACATCTAATTTCCATTGTCTTTCCTTGTCTCTGCTCCTTTGTTCCCACCCCAAGCATGTCCTGCAGACTTTTTCAAGGTGGCAGGTGTGTTGTATTTTATTATCTATGAGAAACTGCATTAAATAGCCTTAAGTCCAGGTCAGCTGAGATCTGATAAATGGCATCTTCCTGGAAGGAAAGATGACTCCAGTTCCCCTTTAACTGGAAAACAAGGGACTATGTGTATGTGGGGAAAAAGACCAGAGGCAGTGAGGAGAAAGAGTGAGAGAGGGGGGCAGAATTTGCAACTGCATTTGGAGAATCAAGTAAAGACTTGCGATGTTAATTCTGATAATCTGGACACAAATCTGGGTTTACCTAAATTATCTGATCATCACATCACAATATGTAAATGATTTCCTCACTTTGGTCTAAAGTCAGGGAGACAGTACTATAGAGAACTGGCACTCTTGCCCGCAGTTCAGAGCAGGGTGATGCCTCTCTCCATAGTCACCTGAGAGGACTTTAGTGGGGGCTCCGACTGAGTTTGAGGGGATTAGAGATAACTTCATGTGGCCCAAATTTCTCCTCAGCCTCAGGGCACACTCCTTCCCCTTTTCTGCTTTTGGTTTACTCTCTCGCCTGGACAACTTTTTTTTTTTAACTCCGCAAGAACCTAGAGACGAATGGGAGCTGGAGGGAGGCTCAGTGTCTCTGCTTTGGCCTCGTGTGTTCCAACATCGCCCCTGAGACCTTCTCACTTTGGATCTCATGCCCGCCAGGCTGTCGCAGCAGTGCTTTGTCTGGTCACCGGGTCTCAACTCCTCCTTCCTTGGGAGCCTTGTGACAACAGTTGCAGGCAAAGACAGACTCATCCCATTGTACAGACGAAAACTGAGGCTCCAGGGCAGAAATGACTTCCTTGAGTTAGGTACCCCTCCTTTCTCTGTTGCTATAGAGCAAATCACAGGGTATATACTGTAAGCCTTGATTGAACAGCTGCCAGTCTCTGGCAGACAGCAAGCCGCTATGGAGAACAGGTCATCTGCACCTTGCTTTCAGTCCCCTGCCCCATCGATGGCCTGGGTCAGGATTTCAGGGCTTCTCCTGGTTCCCTGAGTTGTCTCTGTTCTGCATCCTAAGTTACACAGAGAGCTGATTAGACTTGGAGGGGCGCGACGGGCGAGAGGATAACCCCTGCCGGCAGGGATCGCGGGGTAGGCGCCAGCCTGCACTTTGTTCAGAGCGGGGACAGGCTTATTCTCACTCGCCTGCCGCAGTCGGGGCCACAAGCGCTGCTGCTAGACTGCCCCCTGTCCCCACGCTGCACTCTGTCGTCAAGGGTCCCAGGGACACAGATTTCTGGGCTACTGGTCCAAGAGGCATTCTTCCGAGTTTTTGTCCCCAGAGTAGTGGCTCTAGGACTCTGCACTTTTGAACTTTTTGGGGTTTGTTCTAGAACTCACGGACTTTGGGAGAGGGTAGGGGTTTGGATTATGGGAGTCTCATGTCCATCTTTCCAGGACCAGACTGGCTGTGCTCTATTCCTTCTTCATTGGCTGTTGCATCTTCTCCACCGTAACTCTTGCCCAGTCCTTTGGTGTTACCAGTGTTCTCAACCTGGTTTTCCCCGCTGAGTCCTAACTCGGCTTTAACAGACCGTTGGTGTGGTGTGGCCAGCTCCTCTCAGCACCTCTCAGCCCCTCTGGCCCATAAGCAGATGGATCTCTGACTCTGGGGTCAGCGTTCTCGGCTCCCACATTTTTTTTTCTTGCATAGACTGGAGAAGAAGACATAATAGAAATAAATCCAGTGAAAATAAAAACCCAACAAAAAAACTCGAGAAAACTCTTCAAGGGCAACTGCACCTCGGGCCCAGCGTCCGTGCGTAGAGTAGATGGCCTTCGGGTCCTCTGCCTGCTGCTACCCACAGCCCCCAGCGGCATCCTCACATCTTTTGCCTTCAGCTGAGAGACTGTCCGGATTTCTGCATCTTTGAAGGCCCCTCTCCCCATCTACCCCCCAACCCCCGCTAAGAGCTTGAGGGTCTCAGGCAGCTAGCCTCGCCTACCGTGCCAGGTGCTGGGAGTTCCTGTCCTCCAGAAACTTACAGTCTTGTGGAAAAAGCAGATATATTCCGATAACTAATAGTGATGGCCAGCATTTATTTCTTGAGCGTTCCCTGAGCGCCAGGAGTTCTGCCAAGCCCTTTACCTTCATTATCTCACTGACCCCTGGGAGCCATCCTTCATGGCGGGCACACAATTACCCACATTGTGGAACCCAAGGCTTAGGGAGGACGATGTTTTTTTCCGCTTAAGGATAGGCATTGACGTCCAGAATCGAACGGAGGTGGAGGCAAGGCCACTGCGGCTCCGGGCAGGTTTCTGGCCTGGGGATCAGGGGAGAAGGCCGGCACACCCACCTCTCCTCGCCGGGGGCTACGAGGCAGCAGGACCGCCTAGGGGGCGCGCAGACTGTCCGAATTCGCGCGCGCCCTCTGGCCTCAGGAGCAGACTGGAAGGAGCCGTTTCCCGGGAGACCGGCTTGCGCGGGCGCTGACCGGGAGGGGCCTCCGCAGACCGGGAAGATCCGGAAATAGACCTGCGGGTCACGGGGGGAGGGTGGGGGAGTAGGAGGCGGGCGCCCCCGTGCTGCTCTGCACGCGAACCCCAGGTCCGCGAGGGTGTTTTGCCCCCAGCTGAGTCTCTGCCGAGGATCACCTCTGCTCTCTTCTGGGGTGAGCAAACCCGAAAGGCTTGGCGACAGTGGGCGGACACTCGGTGTTCACAGCCTCACCTTTTGCCGCAAGGGTCATGGCGCTGGGGGGCCAGTTCAGCATGCTTCTAGAACTTTCAGACCCAATTTCACCGACTTCCTTCTAGGTCTTCCTGACCCAAATCAGGCCCATTTCGTACTATTGTCTATTCAGTGGTTAAAGCAAAGAGAGCAAAAGCGGGGGTTCCTGACGGGAGAGGGTGCCCAGCCTGGGGCGAGGAGTCCCTCCCTCCACCGGCCAGGTGCTGAGGCGGGTCCTCAGTGTCCAGTAGGCGCCCCCAGGCCCGGATACTCAGAGGCTGGCAAGTGTCAGTGGGCGAGAGGAACGCGTTCTCTCAGCGGCTAAAAGCTTGGGATCTGGAGGTACAGGTCCTTCAGCCGCAAACACTGATGGCGTAAGTCCCCCCACCCCCAGCTCGGAGCACTGGAATCTCTGCACTTCCAGCGGCACCCAAGTGGCGTGGCCGGAGGTGTGCAAACAGTTCTCAGCAAGGTTTGTTCTTGGACGTGAAAGAAAACAGCCTACGACGCCCCCCCACCCCTCCACCGGGGTGGGGCAGGGGAGCCTAGGTGCGCGCACTCCCGGGTGTCTGCGGGGCCAGGCCGGGAAAGTTGCTTTCATTCTGGAACCTTCTGACCAGTATTGGTTGACTGCTGCCTGTCAGGTTGAAGGGGCAACTCCTCCCATAAGA